CCAACTGGGACTTCTGCATATCAAGAATTTATTTATGAAAAGTACGTAATTACCTCAGTCCACGTCCTTAATTGGAGTTCAGATGTGTCCTGATCAATCGCATTATTTATTTGCTGACTCTCTACTTCGTATTTTTCAGTTTTGATGCAGTAGTTTGTGCTGTTGACAGCTGTAGCATCACCACCACACTGCGTTCTTTCCCTTCAAAAACAGAACCATTTAGAAAATGCTCCCGTTCTCTCTTGCACTTGAACTGTCGTGGCTTTGAGAGCTGAACCTTTGGGCTGCAGCAGACCACTGGAACTGATACAGCTTTGGACCACCATGTTCCTGTGCCACGCTAATGTCCACTCGAGCAGGGACAAGTCCTCCAACTTACAAAGAGCCCTCCGTGGCACACCTCCGCCTCTCAGCAAGTTTCTGACTTTTCGGCGGTTTGGAAAATTGCGCTGCAGGTTGGGGGTGAAGCTACACTTTAATATTAACCTTTGATTAAACAAACACAAGCATTCATATCCACCTGGTAGCTTCAGAGTCATTGACACAGCACATTCAGTAAATAAGGACCACCATTCACGTGCAGTCGTGCTCGTGGTCACTATCTTTTAGTTCTGTTTGTGATCTCCACCGACCTCTAAAACATTTTCGCTGGACATTTGTTCTAGTTAACTGTCTGCCAGCTGCATCTGGAAATACACCACGAGAATGGGGACTTTTCACTAAAACACTGAAGTTTCAGGGTTAAAAAAAAAACAAAACAATGAGCTGATAGATGGTAAAAAGCTCAGAAGAGTTGAAGGTAACGGAGGTCAGGTGATAATTCACGATGGGACTCATTCATAGTCACTAAATTTATTTGATCCCTTGTTATTATATGATTTTTTTTTAATTGTAGCTACTTTAAACTACCAGGTATCCATCCATCCATCATCTATACACCGCTTAATCCTCACTGTGGTCATGAGGGGCTGGAGTCTATCCCAGCTGACTCAGGGTGAAGGCAGGTTCACCTGGACAGGTAATCAGTCTATCACAGGGCTACACTTAGAGACAGACAACCAAGCACACTCACATTCACACCTACGGACAATTTAAAATCACCAAATAACCTCAGCATGTTTCTGGAGGAAGCCGGAGAACACGGAGAGAACCCACGCTGCACGGGGAGAACATGCAAAAAGATCTTCACTGGGACGCGAACTGACGACCTTTTAGCTGCGAGGCTACGGTGCTAACCACCGCTCCACTTTGCAGCCCTTACCAGATATCAAATAAGCAAAGTCAGTCTAGGAATAGTTTCTTAATCTCTGCGCTACAAAACATTTTGGTGCCACAAACATTATTGACATGTGACAGGCAGCCGCAGCCAATGCGATGTTTGTCAGATTTCCTTCCCGTCCTTTGCAATTAACGACGCCGTATTACTGCAGCGACAATATGCTCTCTTTGTTCCTCTGTAAACTGCCTTATGTTCCTTTGAGCAGTCACTCCCTGAAATAGTGACTGTCAGACTTTTGTTACAGCTGACACACGCTGCTCATTGCTATTCAACTTCATGTGACTCACTGGTGTAGCTGCCTTTGTAACGGAGACGTATACTGTAGTTTCTGCCTTAATCGCGGCTGCAAATGTCACAAACTGCAAAGTTATGCAGTCGGGGAAAAAAAACTCATGATGGCATATCGCAGACAGATGAAAGGCTCGGCGGTCACATGTAGATAAAGACGGACTGAGAGACAAAAGACGTTCACGATGAGACACTAAGTGCAAAAAAAACGGACGTCGGGATGAATCAACAGTCTGAACTCTTCATCAAAGCGGCATTCACTGCAGGTCTTTTGTATTTTACAGACTGAAGAGAAAATGCACAGCTATTTGCAGGGGGAGGCTTGATTACAGCTTGTCTGATGTAATTCACCTCGTAAACACTGATATCAAAAGAAAAAGTTAGTTTTTCTTTCATCAGTGAGTCATAAATGCGACATTGTGCCGTGTTTTTATTATTTGTATAGTTTTTAACTCTTCACGTTGTCTGTTTGCTTCTTTGTGCCGCAGGTTTCTCACATCTCCTGCCGTACTTCTACGTCATTTACTTCACCGTGCTGCTGATTCACCGGGAGGACCGCGACGAGAGACAGTGCAAGGCCAAGTATGGACCGGCGTGGGACACCTACTGCAGACGAGTCCCCTACAGGATCTTCCCTTATATATACTGAAAAGGAAAGCGGATGGAAGCAAAGGGGGGCGGGACCCAAACTGTCACACAACAGCCTTCTGCAAGTTCACACGAACTCAGCAATAACTTGAAATCTGTACTCTGTTGCACAGATTGCAGGTAATAAGCGGTGCTGCTACTGGGAGGATCAGAGTTTTAACCAGATGGTGTGTGAGTTTATGGTTTGATTACAAAATGCTGAATTAATTCTTCAAAATCTTGTATTTTGAGTCTGAAACCCGACAGCAATGTCCTGCAGGTAAAGTCAGTCGGTATCACACGTGCATCTTTTGTATTATTTACAAAAAACAAACATCTTATTTTAGTGAGAATTAATACTGACTTGAAAAGTGAAACAAGCAGTTCATAGCAGTGCCTTTGTTAGTGAAACGTCTGCACCACAGAATTAGTTTTTTACGTCTTCTTTTTGTGAAGTGTATTGTTGCCTCTGAAATGCATTTGAAATGAACAAATACAAAAAAAGAAAACAATATCCGATCTTGTCTTGTCTTTAGGCAGTTATTTGAGTCTCTGCATTGTGGGAAATACAAAATAATATCGTTTAAATATGGGGGACCTCTAATACCACTTTATATTACTTTGCATTGGACAGTATACAACTGAAGTGAACAGCAGTATTTACTCTTATGGACAATTAGAAACAGATACTTTAGAAATGATTGTATTGAACATCCAGGCCTTGGGGAAGAAACTCAGTGCAACAAAACCCAGGGATGACTGACACAAAAAGGTTTTGGACCTATGGGCTGTGTCTCCTGCATGTCTGCTTCATTGCTCAACATGGAAAGAAATTATAAGAGGATTCTAAAAATATGATTGTTTGACTTCACAAAGCTGGAAAAGGATCCAGGAAGATCTGTGTCCAACTGAAAATGAGTTGAAAGGCAGTTGCAGCAGTAATCGGGAGGTACAGAATGAGACATAGTGTTACAGTGATTGTCCTTTTTGTGCGTCACGAGTTGTTACACATGTGTGGCGAATGTGGTAATTGTAGGTGAAATGTAGCCACAATGGGACTCTGTTGAAATATTGGAGGGGGGCGCAGTTGAGCCGTGTTGCGTTTCAGAGCTTGGAGCGGAGAGATATTTTTATTTGTGCCGATGAGCTCTATATGCCTACCAAACTGCGTAGCTGTAGGTCATACGTGCTTCCGATAGGACTTCATTGAAGTTTTCAAGGTGGCGCTGTGGAGCCATTTTGGCAATGACATGTCCAATTCCATTAAGACATAAAATTTTTCGCCAGTCCTGGTGAGCGTGGCGATTTTGGTGAGCACATTATGTATTTGGGCCTCAATAAAGAAAAGTCATACTATAGCATGTCGTTTTTGTCAAAAAATGTCATGATTCAGAATGTCATCAAAACGTGTCAGGATGTAGTATACAGTGGAAATAGTGCGATGCATGTCGTAGAAATCACCT